GTAGTCCTTGTTCTTTTTCATCGGCAACAATTTTTTGGTCACGAACAAAGGGGCCAAAAAAAAAAAAAAAATGTGGTGAGGAAAAAAAAAAAAAAAAAAAAAAAAAAAAAAAATTTCAATAAACGAATGAGCATAGGATTGCATAATCGCAATGTGATTATGCCTTCCAGATTTGACATATCAATACGCACGCATTTCCGCTAAGATCTGCAAATCCGAGTCAAACTTGCTTGGCATTTGTTATGATGCAAGAAGGCAAACGCGAATTCTCTTGGACATAATATTGCAAATGTAAGATGGTTCCGTATACCTGGATGGTTCAATAATCTCGAGAATCGATTTTTACCACCGAGTCCGCATGCCGATGAATCCTGGATACGTCAAAAACATGGACATTTGGAACGTGTAATTTCAAGATTAAAATTTTTTTTATTTCCATAATTCACATTGTTCGAAAAAATTTTTTTTTTTTTCTTTTCAGAAAATCCTATATGAGTAAGTGACCAACCCGATCCCTCCAGTTTGCGAGTAATACGGTTCGCCTATTTTAACCTGGATTTGGTTTAGCCCATCACGTGCATATGCATAATGGAGAACAAAGCCTTTTTGTTCGATCCCCATATATGGATATGTATATAAGAAAAAAAAAATAATAATAATAATTCTTTTTAATACCTATGTACGTTCACATGAGACAAAATTCTCGTCAAATAGGGTTTATCGATAAAATTACGACATGCATTTAGTACGCGCCTAAATGCCTTTAAATGTGATGCTTCAAAATTGCACGTAAATATTGATTGTAACAAATTAAAGTTTACGAGAAATAATGAAGGCGCTCAGTTTTTTTTAATAACTTTTTTTCATTCATATAGTACGTCTTTTTTAATTTTTAAAAAAGGGGGGGCGCCCATATTTGCTTCTTAATTTACATTATTTCTATTTCCTTAGTCTTCAATGACTTATTTTTAAGCATGTTGAATATACTCTGTGGTTCCGCATTCAGATGCAAGGTTGGTGAAATTATAGCATAGGGATTACACAGATCGCTCGCGCCGAATTCCTCATTTTCCAATGTGAAAAAAGTCAGCACGTAAATAGAGATGCATCCTTCCCAAGTTAAAGGATATGGTAACTTTCTAAACGATATGGCACGAAGCTGTATGTCGCCTAGCAGTGTAGCTTAAGGTCAATCTTCTCTACAAATAGGTTGTTTGCTCTCACAATACATAATGATTATTATTGTACTGACCGTTGAGGTTGTGACATGGATGATTAAAAATACGTCTTTGCGGTCTATTTTGGGAACAAGATGCGTATTTTTAAATTGTGCCTGCAATCCGAAAGCTTACACGGTGTTTGGCTAATAAACATAGGCTCCTTAATAACGGGATAGAAAACCCGTTTTTTTTTTTTTTTTTTTTTCAACATCTGGTGGGTTCCAGTTACACTGGATGACCCTTAAAATAATTATGTCCCAATGCACTGTATTCCCGGAAAGGAATAAGGTTCGGAAGTAGGATATCACCAGCGGTCATCATATTTTTAATTGCCACATCTAAACCGCGGAGATTTATTTAGCAAGAGAAGTTGTCTGACAACTAAATTTGAACGGAGTCATCCAAATTTAGCCTTTTTTCTTTTTAATAGAAACCCTCGCCGGTGAGATCGAGCTTATTTTTAGATGCGCACATTGCACGTATATATTTGGTGGTAGATCAATTGCGTTTTGGATTGTGGATTTTGCGAAATTTGCGCGCTAAAAAGTTATTGCATTGTTGTTGGAAAATCTTGAAGGATCATAAACAGCAATTCAAAAGAAACACAAGATTCCTAATTAAGTAATCGCGGGCTCCCTATTGTGTTATTGCCGTCGTTTTCACAAATGCCCTGTGGTGGAATGATTGCGCATCAAGCCAAAAGTCCCTCCGACTGCCAACTTCTTCTTTAGCATACGTAATAAAAATGGCGATTTGCTCACCCACCGACGAAACGCATGGATGTAGCGTGCTAAAATAAGAAATCCGAATGATTAATCGTGTGGGCCATAAAGGTAGTGGGAAAAAAAAAAAGACCAGAATCTCATTTTTCACGTCGTGACCTGCAAATGAGATTTCTCTAAATTGTTACCTACTTCTAGTAAAATCCTTTCACTCCTGTGTTATGACCCGTGGCACTGCATGTCTATTACACGAATTAATGGATTGAATACATATTTAGAAGCACGGATAAATAAATTTATAAAAAAAAAAAAGAAGAAAAAAAAAAAAAAAAAAAAACAAATCTCATAATTTCAATAAATTTCAGGATTTTTCTTTTTTATTTATTTATTTATTTATTTGTTTTGCATTCGTATGCGTACCATGTAATTCCAATCCACGAATGGTTGGCGTTCTCGGGCAAATGACTTAATCACGTCAGGTATCAACATTTTCTCGAACTAAGGAATCGCAACCCTTTTTAAATAATAAATAACAATAAAAAAAAAAAAAAATTTTTTTCCAATCTGATGGAAGAAATTTCTTTTATTCCCTTTACGCGAATTGGCTCAAGGGTATTGAAACAATTGGTTAAAAGATTACTTTATGCACGTACCATTTGTCGTTTATGATGTTACGTTACAATGTTTATCGATCTGTCGCATTATCTTTTATCTTTTTATAGTTTTCAAGGTTGGACGATTACATAAATGGTCATGCGCATGGAGCGAAATGAGTTGGTGGTGTGCGTTAGGAACACGCTATTCAGCACTTTACGACATCTCTTAAAAGAGGTCTCGGAGGTGGCACCACTCTGCTCTGCACGACAGCAAGAGTCGGTGCGACGCCGACCATTCGAGAAACATCCAACCTTATGAAGCAACTGATCGATTCAACTTCGCCTATAAATAGATTCCATTAATAACGTAAATATTTATGATTATCCAGAAATAACATGTTATTCATCACACCATCCTAAAGATAGATTAGCGCATTATTCCTATCAATTAACAGTTGTTTTTGATGTTATCTTTGTGATAATAATGACAATAGCAATATGCAACAACCCGCAGCTTAATAATCACTAATACATTAATTATAATAATAATAAAAATCAGTAACACTATATGATACAATCAAGATCTCGAAAAAACTTACAAAAAGACCATAGCACAACCTTTTAGCCAGCCCTTTGCGCGACAAAAAAAAATTACCTGAGAAATTGTTGAAATTGTTCCAGCAATTTTCCTTCTTTTTGAGTAAAACATAATTCATTTTTTGGTAACGATTAAACAAAAATGATAGTAATGACACAGAGTATGAAACAGACAAGGAAGCCTCAAAAGAAGAATGGACCTTTTCAGCGCGGACAGCAAAAGATCAAATTGTCGATAAACAAACCGCGAGGAGTTTTACCACCACTATCGCTTCCTTATCCCCCCAAAATTGACCTTCAAAAGATGGTGGCAAAACTTGCATCCAAACCAAAGCTGGCACGGTTTCCGAACGCATTCATTTTGTATCGTAATGAGTACGTCCAATTTCTCAAAGGGAAAGACTTGCACCTGTCGATGACCGAATTGTCGCCAATGATCGCAGCTGCATGGAAGCAGGAACCTGAGTGTGTAAAGGATGCTTACACCCAGCTTTCAAGCGAGGCGGAAAAATTATATGTGAGGGTTGCCGCGAATGCACAGCCGGAAATAAAATACAAATTTCCAACTCAGCAACGACACTCGGATTATGATTATTCCACCGAAGCTTCCATTGCAAGAAAGAATAACGAAACCATCACAAAATATGATCTTTCACAATACACCAACCAACTTCTAGAAGAATCATCGACGTTCACAAGTTCGAAAAATTATCCATGTGACATAAGGAGTTCTTCGATAAGGTCGGGACACACCTTGGAAAATGATCCCTCCATCAGCAACATGACATCAAGCATATCCGAATCAACATTTGATAACAATCCGTTGGTCAAACAACAGGAAAGTTGCTACATCCAAGATACACCGTTCATCCCGTGGACAAGGTTAAACGAACCGCTTCGAGATGTCATCCCTGAAGTCATTCATCATCCACAACCCCGTTCATCGTCGACGGGAAATGGTTCGGTCATAACGTGCGGTGATCTTGGTATCACATTCCCCGAGCAACAAATCTTCGGACAAATGCCTCCTTCACCCGCCTTGGACACCCCATGTTCCGAGAACGCGTTGTCATTTTCCCCAACCTGCTTGAGTTGCATCAAAAGGCATTTCTATGATCACAATCCTTTCCCGTTCTCCCCCAGCCTGGAGAATCATGAATCGGTCACTCAACCGACGAAATTCTACCTTTCACCCGCCGTCTCACCCGTCCAACCTTTCTCCGACGAATCATCCTCACATTCCCCAAATTTTGGCGAATTCGAGGTCAATGATATAACAAGCGATCTTTACTATGTGATTGATTCGGCTTTGTCGGGCTCTTACGCGATTCCCACGCCTCGGGACAATTAGATGATGAAATGACTTCTGACAATATGTCAACAACCTTCTCGATCTTTCTTTCGAACTGAACAAAGTTTCTTCTTCTTCTTCTTCTTCTTTTTTTTTTTTATGCCAAACTTAAGATATGAACTTAGAAACAAAACATGTATTGGTCTTAATTCCCTTTTTTTTTGTGAAATTTATGCAGACAATACATCTATTTTTACCTGGGTGACGATATCCGGGAAGTTCTTATGAGTTTCTAAGCTCCTATAGTTTTTCTCTTTTTGATATGGACAAGAAATCTCAGACTTATTAATAATTTTTGACGGACTCAAGCTATACATAAAAAAAAAAAATATATAAAAAACCACAAAAACACGAAAAAAAAACGACTTATTTCTCTTTTTGTTTTTCCTTTTCTTCTTTTTTTTTTCGCCTTTGATTTTCACTTCAAATTTTTTTTTTTTTTTTAGGGGTTTTTGTGGGTTTCTGTTGATTCTAAGATGATTTAAGGATTTAAGGTTATTTTCGTTTTTTCTGTTTATTGTCTAGGGGTATATCTTCGATTTTTGGCTCTGGCTCTAGAAATAAACAAGGGGCTCTAAAAAAAATGAAAAAAAAAAAAAGGTTCAATTGTTTTTTACTATTATTTTTTCCAATGACGCATGATTCTCGGGGAGGCATTCAACTCCCGAACTGCCTGCGTGTCTCTAAAACCGAGATCTCAGTTAAACAACGTCGTGGCATTGTTATCCCATCGTGTTTAATGAATCCCTATGGAACGGGATCAAAGTGTCACGAGCGAACCGGTTACTTATTTCTAATGAAATTGACAAGATTTAAAAGTTTCACTATTACTATTTCGCCGTTTGCAGTTGGCGCGTGCGCGACACGTAACTTTATTAAAGTGAAAGGTAAAAAAAAAAAAAAATATATATATATATATATATATATATATATATATATATATATATATGCATGTATGCACACACATCTATTAACGTTCGTAGGAAACTGTACACGGTATTTTCATGCACCGAAATAATTTTTTTTTTCAATTTGGCATGCGTAACTAAGTTCTCTCGACCATAATTAACGATTTAAAAATTTCAAGTCACATGTGATAGTTCTTTTAAAATTTGTTGTACCTCTATGTCTAAATGCCATATTAAATTGAATACGTCAATGAAATTCTTAATGGTAAGCAGTATAATTCGTACTACAATATGTTTGATTACGGCAACTGTAAAAAAAAAATCTACCTTAAAACCGCGGTATAATTGCGAGCGGTGAAATAATCTTAACTCATCCCTAAATACGTACAATGCGCACATGTAATGTGGCAACTTTTATAAATGGGTGACTCTTTTGGAGAAATGCCAATCGAGAATTTCAGGTTTCATAACTCGAAACAATACAAATCGATTTACAATGTCATTTCAGGATTTGTTACTCTAGGACCCGGAAAACTTTTGGTCCATCGTTAACATTACCCAAACCGAATGACAAATGAAAATTTGGTTATTGTTGTTTCTGTTATCAATGGATAAATTCATCACGCGCGTGATCCCAAATTTCATGCGCGTAGTTTGGCGCGGTAATTTTAATAATGTATTTATGTAGATCTGTGTAACGAAATATCATCATTTTTTCCCCACAGATGACGAATCTATTGAAGTTATTAGAAGGAGAAAGGTGCCTGCGACAGGAGGAGGCCAGCAACGCGAGTCTTCAACTCGATGGGTGAATGATAAAAACTCGCTTTAAACGATGTTGGAAAATGCTTTGTTATACTGTGGGTTGCTTCGAACTCCATTACCCGACGAACGCGAATGCAAAGGATATTGGTACGCAGTTGCAGTTTGCCGTTTTTTTTTTTGCTTTATGCATAGAAGATAAATCAACAGCCTAACGCATTGAAAAAACGATTACAAAGTTTGTACGATCATACTCAAAAGATTTTCTTGAAATTTTTCTCCCAGACGTGCTTTTAAGACTGAGGATACTAATGAAGGCATCAAGGAAGAAATAAATTATAGCGATCATATCTTAGAGACAAAAAAAAAAAAAAAAACAAAGGTAAAGAAAAGGCGGCATCTGTACCAAACCATTATCAGGCCTTTAATGGTTGTGAGCAGTTCGTTCCTCGGGAATGATATCACATCGACTGGCGAATAGACAGCTTTCTGATTACCTTGGGAGAATCCGTGTGCTCAGATTATTCAAGTTACAAGATCTGGAATGTTCATGGATTATTTTTCGTCATCATGGTCCAGGCTTTCGCTTGGCAATGATAGTTTAACAAAAAGATTTAGAAAAATGATATCGACTGGAAATTGGCTAGATTACATCAGAGCTTCCAATTTTATTCTAATTAATGCATGTGTGAAGGTTAATTATAATATCCACCTTGCCCTATCTCATTAAACCATTGCAAACTGGAATAACATGCATGAAACAGTAGAAAAAAATAATAAATTCTTATGATTAAAAATTTTAAATAAATGACAAAACCCCCCCAAATTAAGTAACATACTGTAAATAAACAATAATAATTATTTAAATTAAACATATAAAAACGGAAATTCAATCATTGTTAATTTAAATCAGTTGTGATTTTATTTTAAAACCTATAAATTGCAAATGAGAATCTACAAAAATCCAACAAACAAATATTTGTGATTAACAAGATCATTGGATATTAAATACGCTCCTTAAACTTTATAAACAAACAATTGGTTGCGGATTTAAATTTAAAATTTAGAATGTGGAGATTGAGTATATGAATGGTTGGTGCATTGTGGAATCGTCGCGAAACTTTAAAACTTCAATGCACAGGTGTATGCAATCGCGGTTACACCAT